ATAAATATATATATTTAAACAGTTTTAAAACTAATATGGATGATATAACTATGTGAATGTATGTTCAAAGTTTGGCAAAGTTGCTATAATAATAATTTTTAAAAATACAAAATACAATGTGCTCTAGACCCAAATAAATGTCAATTATTTGGTATTAACAAAAAATGTAAATTATTAAAATTAGCTTAGAAATTGTTTTCTCTTTTTTCCCAGCTGGATTTGAGCAACTAATCCAAGTGCATGTATTAAATAAAATGATTTTTCCAGTTGTAAACCAATGACAATTTGAAAGGATTTCATAAGGACTGAATTGCTAAAGATTGTAAACATCTAGTATTAACTTTAGTCATATCAATAGCAGGGTTCTGCTGTGAGCAACATTTCAATCTAATTCTAGTTTACAGATTCACTGTGCAAGACAATAAGAATGACATTTAGGTAGACCAGAATTTTGATTATATATTCATTTGCAATTATATATGAATTTGTAATTATACAAATAAATATACAGTTATAGAACTGTATGTGGATATGCAATTGCATATATATTTTCTGCTTCAGAAACATTGAATGTATTCAAAAAGTAGGATGCAAAAGGGAGATGTGTATGTTAATGATGCAACAGTTAATCTTCCTGCTAGTACAGCGTGTACAGGCAATTTCTATTCCAGAGATTGTGAATGTGCAGATTGTCCAGTAGGTCAGATACCATTTACACATTTCTAAACCCCAGTGGTAGCTACTAAAATATTGCTTTGCATAGTTCCACTGACAATCCATTAATTTCAGCATTATTTCTCATACTAAAGTCATATTTCAGTTATTTATTTGCTATTAAGTTTAAAATACTAAGGCCTCTTGCACTTATAGTAAAATAATTTGTACGTGATAATGTTTACATTTTTCACCTTGTACATGTGATAAAACTAGTCACAAAATATTTCAAATATTTCAGGGCTATCATCGACCAAATCACTATATTGCTACTCAAGGTAAGTTTACATCACCTCTATGATTAACTTGATTATGTGTGCTTTTCTTTTTAAATGAGAAACATCCCTGTAAATATTTTGCATTTATTTAAATTATAGTAAATAACAATATTTTAAACCCGGAGTTCATTAAGAGTCCTAATTTCTATACATTACTACTCTCATCTCACAATGCTATATTTTTAAAAAATACCATGGGGGTTTCAGGCAAACTAATATTACAGTTGATACTTGAATATATTTCCATTCCTACAAATTCAAAACTGATAGAGAATAAAAAGCATAATCAATCATATTTGCAAGTGAAGAAAATAGCCAGGAGAGACAGACAGACAGACATCCTGAATTTAGAAAATAGAGTGTTGGTTTTTCTTCTTTATGTAATAAGGAAAGAGACCTCCATTTCTTAGTTCTTTGTAATGAGCACGTAGCATTATTTCTGTTTTCTGTTACACCGTGCTTACCAAAATGATTATTGTGCTTCAGGGATGAACTGGGAGTACAGCTGCCTCAGAAACATTCTGTATTCAAGGATACAGACCTTCAAATTGATTGATTGATTGATTTCCCCATTGTTGGAGAAAACTGTTCAGCCTTGTAGCCTAGTACATTCCTTAGCATTTTGCTTTTGTTTATATCTTAAACTCCGGAGAGAGAGAAAAAAAAATTATAACAAAAGTACTTAACAAAGAGCAGAATTTCATGAATTTACCCAGTTAAAGATCCACAAGAGGTTTGTTTACATATCTGAAAACACTTTTTAAATCATTTAAATTCAAGTCTGTGTTGTTGAAAACAACTGTTAACATCTGTAGAGATTCTCTACTTTATTCCCTTGAAAACATGTGGTTTACACTTTCATTAAATTAATCCTGACTTATTCTTTAATGAATGTATGTAATAAAGACAACCTGATTCCAGAAAACTGGAGTTTCCATCTCCTCCCACAGAAAATGAGTAAAAGATGGGCTATTTTTCCAAAACTATTGTCTTTATTTTATAAGCTAGTGTTGCCACTAACTAGACAGCCCCATCATTCTGCCTACTGACAATTTATTTCAGTTGCAGGTATTATAGTAAGCTGCATCCCATCTAAAAAGAAAAAAAAATGTCATATTTAAACATGATTGGGACAAGTTTAGATAAAGCTCCTTAGTTTAATGCAGATTAATGACCCCACAAAGACAAAGGCATACACTGATGACATAAGCGTCATATTTAGTTTTGATCAGTTTAGTAAAACACTGTGCATTACAGCTGTGTGGCTTAATTCATCCTCACATTTTAGTGACAGAGCATTACTTTCTGCCATCTTTTATAAGTTAACTCTTATTTAGACATTGGAACGTATATGCTGAGAATAAATGGAATTCAGCTTTCCTTTATTACGGTCATACACCTGCATAAGGAGGGTTCAGCTTTAACTATCCATGGTCACCTAGATCCTTTGCTGATAAAAGTTCTGTCCAGAGAGAGAGATAATTTAGAATGGATGCACTACAATAGATAAGTGTGGAAGTTATTTAAACCAGATGAGACTTCTTTATATAGCTTGTGTTCCTTTTGATATTTTCGCTTGAGGGCCTTATTTAATCATTTAAAAGGGGAAATAGTGAGAAGAGCTCCTAAAAATTAATGAGGACCAAAATTGATCTATTTTAGATTGGTCATAAATGGATGAAGTTGAAGACAATTTCAATAATCACCACCACACCTGTTTTCAGATTCTGCTGTATCACTAATAATCATTAACACTGCTGAAGCTGAAATCCTGCAATCCATATTTTCAAGCTCATGCAATACATATTGTATGGGCAGTCCCTGAAGCTTCCTCAAATGTATTCATATTCTTTGTGAAATATACCTATTTAAAATTTGTAAACACTTTATCTAAGCATCTGAACTAAATGCTATAGAAATTCTCCCTTAAGCTATTATGCAGTCATTCTTTCAGCAGGATTTCTGATATAGCTTTTTCTCATCTATGTGGGCATTATGCTCTGTGAGGAAAAGGAATCAGCCCAGGAATCAGTTCAACCTCCCTTAGAGTTGGTTGTGATTGGTATTGTCTGAGGGCTCTTCTTCAGTTCTATTCAGCACATCAAGTGTTGATGAGCAGGTATAATTGGATGCTGCTAAATAGTAGCAAACATCATCAGTTTGTAGTAGGCTACCAATCTGACTTTTAACAAAGCTGGAGAGTTGCATAATCACTTGTTTCTATTTCAGCATCTCCCAAGTGAATCAGAATTAACTTATAGGATTTTGTTTGACAATGGCCTTTTCTTTCCTTCTAATTGTTGTTGAGGAGAGAGTGGTATAAGAAAAGCAAAACATATTTTACCTAATGGTGTATCAAGGGATAATCTAACTACACTGTAAATGGAATACATTTAAAATATGCAAATTGGGGTGGTACTTTATCATTTACTTCTATTCTGCAGAGTGGCTATAATAGACAAAATTTGTCATTAATGGAGACTGAAATGATCTAATGTAATTGGCACTGATGAAAACAGAAAGCACCTTGGTGATCTTGTAAAACTATCTTGTACATCTTCCATAAAATGTATCTGCAGGATAAAGTGAAATTAGAAAGAGTTGTACATTACTCATAGATACATTCATGAAACATTAATTTTGAAGTAACAAAGATAGCCAGCAGTAATTTGAACATGCTTAGATAAGAATCAATGTTATGTATAGCAGATTGTGGCCCTCTTGAAATCATATCACTGAAATTCAGAGGAAAACCACTGAAAAACAGAAATTTGATTTTCCATAATTTTTCAGTTGTAAACCTTAGAATCAATTACAAACTGTACTGTAGGGCTTAACACATATATAAAATAGGCAAGAAAAAGCACACTTGTTTGATCAATCCACTTGCATGACCTTATCAAGATAGCCAAAGGCTGCAGATGGCTGGGAGAAAAAAATTAAATGCAGCTCCTAGTCACCCAAACCCTGGCTCCTGCATCCTCCAGGCCACTACTGAAGATAGCATGGTGTAGACCCTGCTAGGTTTCTCTAGCTCAGGAAGACCTTGAGGTGGTCTCACTGGTACCTCTCCACTGCCCCCTGAGATGGGGAATCTGCCACCTTCTGGGTCATATCTCCACTGCCTCTAGGGCCTCTTCAGGAAGATTTTATTATAGAGTTGCCATTAACTTCTCAAGTTGCTACAGTTCTTTGACTTCCTTGACTGTGATAGCTCTCTTACACATTCACACCAGGTATATATTCTTTTCCGTTTGTGGGCAAAGGTCTGATAGAAACCAGGCACCTTCCATCTTAAAGTCCTGAAGTTCCTCCTAGCACTTTCTGAGATCAGTCCTAGCCAGGACTTCACCATGCCTTTGGACAGTGCATAATTATCCATAATACTTATAAAGCCCTGTATGGCATAGCGCCTGGATATCTGAGAGACCGCTTGTCTCCAACTGTTTCTGCCCACCCAGTATGTTCCAGCAGAGTGGATGCACTCTAGGTCCCCTCCACTAAACATTGCCATCTTGTGAGACCTCTAGAAAGCATGCCTTCTCTGTTGCGGCCCCCACCCTCTGGGGCATCACTCCAGAGATAAGGATGGTGCCCTCCCTCCTGGAGTTCCAGAAAGCTTTGAAAACCTGGCTTTAGTCCCAGGCCTGGGGTTGATGTTTCTTATTTGTTCGGTGGCCCCTGTTTTGTTTTGTTGATGTTGTCTATTAGATTATTTTAGTCTGGGCTGTCTGCTTGATTTAATGTTTTTGGCTGTTTTTATGTTTTGTATGCCATGCAGAGTCCATTGGAGGTGGCAGCCAATAAATCTAAATAAATAAATAATAATAATATTGCTGCAAGGCATTTTGTAGGCTACTAATCATACAAGAGAGCTCTTGCTATCCCATTGAATCTTAAAAGCTAGAAATAAAAATAACTTCTTTCTGTGCAAGTCCCCTTATTTTTCTGTTAAATAGAATTTAGAAACAAGAAAGAAAAAAAAGGAAAAAAAGTGCCTACCTGTCCCAGCTTAAATGATTGCCTTTGTAACATGTACAAATACCAGTGTCCTTTGAAAAAACAACTTTAAAGAGGACTTTTTGAAAAATCTGGGCTGAGCCCATCATGTAGTAGCATGATTGAACATATCAAGTGGAAGTCTGTAGATTTCAAACTTCCACTTGCAGAAATCCTCTTGGTCTTTACATCTTTGCTCTGCAGTCCTGTATTTGGGGGCATGATGTAGGACTCCTACAATTTGTGTTGCTTTACTGGATATTATGGGTAAATGAAAGCTGACATTAAGCATCCTACTCTCTAGAGAGCCAGTTTGGTGTAGTGGTTAAGGCACCAGGTTAGAAATCAGAAGACTATGAGTTCTAGTCCCACTCACCTGCAGTTTTCTTGGCAAGATTTTGGAAGTGGTTTACCATTGCCTTCTTCCTAGGGCTGAAAGTGACTGGCCCAAGGTCACCCAGCCAGCTTCTTGCCTAAGATGGGACTAGAACGCCAGTCTCCCAGTTTCTAGCCTGATGCCATAACCACTACATCAAAACTGGCTCTATAATATGCTATATTATAGAACCTATATTATATAATTGGATGTAGACACTATAACATAATGCAGAAGTTGTAGAATGACATACATTTTTAGCTGCATGGTTTAGTACAGTCAGTATGGCTGTTAATAATTCTTGGCCAAATTTTTTAGTTTCTCAGTGTGTTAAAATTTTGTTCTGTCTTGAGATAGAATTCTATATACAACTTTCTAAGTGGGTCTCAGAACTGATTCTCCTATTTTAATCATTCAGTGACTTCATTTAATTTATGTCATCTAGCTAAATATCCTGCTTAAATTTGTTTTATTCTTCCTGTGTAGAATCTGGGAGCCTACCTATCCTTTAACAAGGAGTGCATTTTTACCTAGCTGAGAACCACACATAATATTTGAGTGGTGGGAGTGACCAATACAAAAGCTAAATTTGATTTTATTCATTTACATTTGAATTAACTTTGTA